CGACAACTCCGTCCGCGTCGTCGACCTCGAGACCAAGAGAACCATCAGAGAGTTCTGGGGCTGCCAGGGTACCGTCAACGACTTCTGCTTCTCCAACGACGGCCGCTGGATCATCGCGGCCTCCCAGGACTGCGTCGTCAGGATATGGGACCTCCCGACCAGCCACCTCATCGACGCCATCCGCCTCGAGAAACCCTGCACCGCGCTCGCCATGTCTTCCTCCGGCGAGTACCTCGCCGCCACGGTCGAGAACGAGCTCGGCGTCGCCATCTGGACCAACAAGTCGCTCTTCACACACGTCCCGACGCGCCAGATCTCGGACAAGGAGGCCGCAGTGCTCTCCGGTCCCACAACGTCCGGCGAAGGCAACGAGGGTCTGTTGGAGGCCGCCTTCGAGGACGACGCTGGCGCTGAGGACGAGACGGTCGTCGCGCCCAGCGTCGACCAGCTCAGCGCCGATCTCACGACGCTCAGTCTGGTGCCCAAGAGCCGCTGGCAGACCCTGCTCCATCTGGACCTCATCAAGCAGCGCAACAAGCCGACAGAGGCGCCCAAGGCCCCGGAAAAGGCACCCTTCTTCTTGCCGTCCGTCGGCGCTGGCAAGCAGGCTACCAACCAGATCGAGGGCGCCGCCCCTGACGCCGAGGGCGCGGAATCAAAATCGCGCATCACCAAGCTGGAACGCGGCCGGCTGCAGGAAGTATTTACCAGCAAGCTGATTGACGGTGCCGCTTCAGGCGACTGTAAGACTTCCCCTTTCTGACCTGTCAGGACACGGATCCAACTAATTTTGTCACAGTTGACGACTTCATCACCCACCTCAAGACCCTCTCCCCCTCCACAGCCGATCTCGAGCTCCGCTCCCTCAGCCCTGAGGACGGTGGCCTCCTGAACTTCATCCGCGCGCTGACGAGTCGCCTCGCGGCTCGTCGCGACTACGAGCTGGTGCAGGCGTGGATGACGGTGTTTTTGAGGCTGCACTTCGACTTGGTCATGGCCGACCCTGAGCTGCTCGAGGCACTGGGCGAGTGGAAGGCTCTGCAGGAGAAGGAGGCTGGTCGTCTTGATGACCTTGTTGGGTACTGCAGCGGTGTTGTTTCCTTCCTCAGGAGTCCCAGGACATGAGGTGGTCAAATGTGTACATGAGGTGGGGGAATAACGAGGGGCGGAAATAGATCGAAGAGGAGGAGCGGGAGGGCAGAGCGTGTGTGCTGATAGGCATGCTTTTTAATTGAATACCCAGAGAGTTCCAAGGGCATTGTCTTCATCCTCGTGAAAGTCGTCTTCGCAAACGCGTTTGACTTGGCTACGCTGACGGGCCCTCAACATATTGTCTTTTCGATTTCAACTATTTTCAACTATGTTACACTTCCAGCACCCACCTCACCCATCCTTTTCAACCAATCTACAGCAAAGCTATCAAGGCAATAAGAGAAGCCACAGTGACGGCAAACGCAGCTCTGCTAATCTCCGCTGTGCTCGACGCGCCGTTGGGGTTACCTGAGGCAGACGGAGTAGCTCCAGTGGTACCAGTGCCGCTGCCACCGCCGCTTCCACCACTGGCACCGCCGCCGCTCGCACCTCCCGTACTCGTCTGGCTCGACCAGTACGTCTGATTCCACTCCTGGTACGACAAGCTCGAGTTCAGCCTTAGGACTGGGTCCGTATCATCGGCTGTCACCTGCGCCGTCGACATCATCCCGTTCCAGCAGTGCTTCGCGAAGCAGTCCTGGCACTGCTGCGGCAGCGCCAGGCCAAGCCGCGTGAGACTGCCGCGGATGGTCGCGCAGGCGAGGCAGGCGGGCCAGGCGGCGTCGATGGTGCCGTTGCCGTAGGTCGCGAGCTGGAAGGCGTTGTCGACGGTGAGGTCGAACTCGTTGTCCGTGAAGGAGGATTTGGTGTACGTGTAGTTGATGTAGCCGGACCAGGGGGAGTTGGGCAGGTAAAGGACCAGCGGGTTCGGGGCCGTGTCGTTGCAGCCGAAGAAGGTGGGCTGTCTGGTCATGTTCATGGTGATGAGGGTGTTGACGTCGGGGACCTTGGGGAAGGGGATGTTGCCCTGGGCGGCGGACTGGGCGGAGTTGACGAGGTTCGTGCCGTTGACCCAGTTGTACATGAGCGCGTCGGAGGAGGCCTCGTAGACGATGACGAGGTCGACTTGACGTTCAGGGATGATGAGCGGTCGGATTGGGTTGGTCTCGCCCGCCATGCTTCCATCAAGCTGTGTTTGTTAGATTACTGCCAGTGCTAAGTCTCTCAAGGATTGACATTGACATACCAGAAGAAGGTTATCAACGTTCTGCATGGCTGGGTTCATGTTCTCGAAGGGGTTCGGGTAGGTAGCCCATAGCGAGTCGTTGAACGACTGGTTGAAGTTTTGGGCGGTATTGATGACAAGCTGAACTTCGCCGTTCTCCTCCTTTCCAGGAGGCACTGTGATGTTGATCGAAGCCGTCTGTATGCTCTCCAGCTCTCGCTTGGCAAAAGTCGGGACGCCGTACCAGTCATCAATGAACCAGGCATCAAAAGCATCGGCCGTAGACCCCTGCAGGAAGGTGTATTTATCGAAGCCCATCACGCACTCGCTGCTGTTCTGCGCCGTTCCGTTCGACATGGACGTGCCGAGGTACATGGTAGGCATGAACGCCTGCACTCTGCCACCGCGCCAGCTTCCGAACTCGAACGGGGTGACTTCGTAAGAAGTGAGATTGAAGCCATTGGTGGTGTTGCGGCCGGGCCACATGATGTTCTGGATGCTCGGCGACTGGCCTGGGATGACCTCGGAGAGGGCAAGGATGGGCATCGGCGCTTCTCCGCGGGAGAAGACGGTGTTCTGAGCCGTGAGATCGGAGAAATTGCCGTACGTCTTGTTCTCTGGGAGATAGACGGCCCAGAACTTTCCAAAGGCATCAGCAACAGAGACGGGGAGGCCTTGCTCCGCCTTCGCACCCATGTCCTCGAAGATGTCTTGGAGGTATTGGTCCTGGTTGCCATCCTTGCCTGTGGTGTAGTCGACGGTAAAGTTGATCGCCTTTCTGAGGTCTGCGACAGAAACGAAGTCATTGGCGGCACTGGTAGTTATACGTCAGTCACAGTTGTGATGGTAGGAGTAAGAGGCCTCACAGTGTGGCGACGGTAAGAGCTCCTCCTCCGCTGAGTCCAGTGATGTAAGACAGGACCTGCGTCAAGCCACCAGTTTTGGCCTGCACCGCAGCTGGGTTGCGAGCGTCAAAGGCCTGCCAGATGCCGAGACCGCCGACGCCCGACTGCGTGCCTCCTCCCGAGACGGAGAGGCCGACAACAGGGTAGCTGGTGGTGTTGAGCTTCTGGATGTAGTCCTGGACGTTGAAGCCGTCGATGTTGGCCAACGTCAGGTAGCTGCTCAGTGCCGGGATGACCTTTTCACCGCGGGTCACCTTCCACGACGACTCCGGCTTTGAAAGTCCCTGATCTATGTGAGAATATGTGTCGCCTTCACGCACGAATAACGTACTTCTGAAGCAGCTCTCACTCGCAGGCCGTCAGGACACTGGCTGTAGACGGGCGCGTACGGGTCCTGCTGGGAATCGTCGTCCTGAGCGCAGGCCAGTGCTGCGCCGAGCAGGACGCTCGGGAGGAGACGGCGGTTCGATGTGAGATACATGCTGAGCAGTCTTTCCCAAGCTGTCAAAGTACAGGCACAGGTGGAACGAGGCAGCTTTTCTCCCTTCTCTGGGGATGGCCTCTGGTTTTATCCCTCCATCTTGAGAACTTCAGCTGCGTTCGTGTGTTGCAAAAGCTTGCTCGGAGGCACTGCCCAGCAGCATGCGGGGAAGTTTCGGGGAAGTTTGCTACAGCTCTGACGAAGACGGCTAGACGGAGATCTGGTGGTGAGAGGCGCATTCTCGGAGCCCTCGCCGGAGCCTTGATCTTTGTGGAACTTGGGGGCTGAAGCTTGTCCCCTGCGAGCTGTCAGATCTGGGGCTGAACGCGAGTGCGCCGGCCCAATGAGACCGTCGACGTTGGCCGGATCGAGCTAGGTTGCACAGAGCCCATCGCATGTCATTGGGAAAGGAATCCCTTGAACCCTTACTTTGCAAGCAAGTAGGTGTTAGAGTAAGGCGATAGCTCATGAGAACATATCTCAAGCACCTTGGTTAACGATGGGCTGCAGTCGATTTCAGCTGAGAAGTGACGTTGCAATTGGCAGGTTGAGGCATGCAAGACGGAGAAATGTGGTTACTGGGAGAAGCTGACACATGCAGGTTGGGTTCGACAGGAGCATGCCTTTCGAGCTCTTGCTGTTCTTCGCGGGAGCTAGTGCTGAGCGTCCGATCGACGATCTCGGTTCATTCCTGCCAGCCACTCCTAGGATATCGTTCCTGGAACTAGAGCTGACAAGCCAAAGCCCCCGACTGTATTGATGATTGCTTTAAAAGAGTGGTTTTGGTGTGCTTTTAGAGAGTTGCTGTGGCTGCAGCGAGGTTCTGTTTCCACGCCTGCGGGGTTGCGTGCTGTTGCATGCGTCGATGGCTGCTGTGGCTTGGTCGCATCAAATTCCTGGAATGCGCCCAACTGATATGGCTTATTTTGATGCAGACGGGCAAGAATGACCCATGCCGTCCTAGAAACTGAGAAGAATTGTATTTTCCATTTGTGTTTTTCATTCGCTGAGAATCGACTATGGCCCGCGGTTCGCATTGGTGGTTATGCAGAAGCAGGGTTCCGTGTACGTCCGTCCGTCCCCAATGTAAACTCGTCAGCGGCATAGGCAACTCAATGACTGGTGTCCGCTTCGTCCGATGTCTGATTGACATGCCAAGATATGAGAATGCAGCCTACGACTCGTTTATCGCTCGAAATCGTTCATCCCCTACAGTCCCAAGTCGTAGCTTGACATGTGTCTTTGGAAGGGTGAATTGACTCCAGAAACGACGGCACTTTCCCGTCCTTTGGCACCAAGCTACTTTCGGACCCACTTTTGATGACAAGGCCCCACTTGCGCCATTTCTGCCGCATTCATGTACACGTTGCGCACTCAAATTGTCACAACAAATCCTGGTCACCAACAGTCCAGGATTCGGGCCTCGTGGCGCAACGGTAGCGCGTTCGACTCCAGATCGAAAGGTTATCCGTTCAAATCGGGTCGGGGTCACTTCTTTTGCCTTTTGAAGAGGTTGTAGATGTTTCTTTTTGCTCTCGGAGTGTATTGAGATGTTGTTGTTGACAGACAGGATTGGGTGAGCGGTTTTTGCGGCTGCGGGGTGAATGCACGGTAGGACAAGCCAGCTGAGTGCTCAGAACGTTCGAGACATGCTACTCGGCTGAAATCAAGTTGCTGGCTCTCTTTTTCGAGACGAGAGTGTTGATTCTTGTCGGTGTATCGTACGTTGTTTGGCCTGATGCCTCGCCTGTGAATTGCCTGTGGCGAGGGCAACGACTGGTCTAGGCTTTCAATGATGGTCTTTCCAGCATAGAAAACCACTCTGAGCTTTCGCGGACTCTTGTGTGTTAATATATCGTAGCGGATACCATGGTGAAATTGTGCACGATGGTCTTGTTGTATGTCGACTGACAGGTTTCCACTTGAGGAAGGCACTACCTTAACTACCCTTAGGACCTTCACCATAGACAGCATCCGCGGGACAGGGAAACCATTGCAATTGCAGATATTTTCGTGTCTATTCGTCATCAACGTCTCGTTCATGAAGCATCTAATGTCTACTCTTTAAGTCTACTGTATCATCTTGGCCACTCTTTTGGCCTTTCCCTCTCTAGTTGAAGTTCTCCCGGAACACACCCAACGCCACGGCCTTCCTCCGCAACGTCGACTTCGCATGACCGTTGACCCCCTCTACCGGCCCCCTCTCAAACGTGAACACCTCTTTGACGCCAAGGCTCTCGAGATAGTCCAGGTTGCGCTTGTAATTCGTCGCGACCTGAGCGATGCCGTGGCTGTCGTCAGAGAACGTGAACTCACCCCCCATCTCGAGCCATTTCTGCAAAATTCAAGTCAGTAAACCTCCACCCAAACACAACCCCGGATAAGCAGCACTCACCTCAGCAATGATCCGACAAGGATACGGCTCCGCAAGACCCTTCCTCAACGCGCTGCTGTTACACTCCAACAAGCCCCCGTACCCTTTCACCACCTCCAGATTCCTCACGACCCTCTCCCACACGCCTCTCCACTTCCTCACATCCCGCGCGGGGTCCTCGCTCATCAGACGGATCAGGTCAAAGTGGCCAACCACCTTGGGCTCCAGCGCCGTGAGCATCTCGTGCTGCTGGTCGTAGTACCGCTCATACATGCGCTCCTCGCACCCGCCGGCCGTGTTCATCGCGTCGACGTACATCTCGCGCGAGTAGTCGATCGGCACCGCGTTGACGTGATGCAGCGAGCCTATGAAATAATCCACCGCCGGGTGCGCCGCGAGTGACCTGATAAAAGGCCCGTATGCGGGGCGGTACCACTCGCCCTCGAAGCCGATGAGCAGGTCGATCTGGCCCGCGTACTTCTCGCGCAGGCGCTGCGCCTCGGCGAGGTAAGCGTCGTGGCGCGGGGCGAGGACCGCGAGCGCCGCGGCCGGGTCGCCCTCCTCGAGCTCTTCCGGGTAGAGGTCCGCCGTCTCGAGGCGCGGCATGTGCTCCGTCATGCCCATGGTCTTGTAGCCGATGCTGATGGCGTGCTGGATGATGGACTCGAGCTGGTCCTTGGCGTGGCCGGGGCAGAACTGCCCCGAGTGGGAGTGCATCGTGAACGCCATATTGTCGGCTCTGGAGGGGGTGTTGGTGTTGTGTGTAAGTCAAGACCACGACGGATGCTACGTTGAGGTGTGAGATGAGATGAACCGGAGGGCGGCCGAGGTGAATGAGTCAAGGGTATGACGTCTGCAAGTCTGCGAGACACAGTTGGGGTAAAAAGAAGTCAAGGGGGACAAAGATTTCAACTGAGAAGAACCGCAGACAAGTCTATCAAGCTCGACTGCCAGGTACCGAGATGGCTCTTGAAAAAGGTCGAACAGGTGGCGCGCAAGGCGTGTGTAATCGCCAATCAATGGTTGATAAGAGAGGTCAGGACTTCCTTCGTTCCCACGAGTCACTGCGGCGGGATGCAACATGCCCCTCCAAAGCCCGAAGCCGCCTTGCTGCATGGTCACTGAAAATATTTTCCCCACTGGACTGGAACCTTTTCGGGCCCCGACGGGTGGCCGTAGCAAATCACTGACGCTGGCCCGTCCACGTTTGACGTGCAGGAATTCCTAGCACAAAGATCCCTCCCGCATGCCAAGCTTCGCGTGTCCGCGGGGATCGTTGCATGTCACGCTGATTGCTGCTGCATAGGCACTTCTGTCTGGCTCTTTGGATTCTTGGGTGCGTCTGGTGACAATTCATTTTCTCTCCTGGGGAAAAGGTCGAGGTGATTATTACAAGTAGCGTACAGGAATAGTAACTTTAGACCAGGACAAAAAAGACCAACTCGGGACGGTGGGAGGGTATCATGGCAGGCAGATTCGAAGCCTGCGACCGGCTCGCAGGCCAGGAAAATCCTTTAAAATAAAAGGCCGGGCTCTTCTATATCGAATCAAGGGAAAATAAGACAAAACGAATAGGCGTTTTTGAAGTGTGGAATTCTTGAGAGGATCCAAGTCAATCAATTCTCGACAAAAGTCCTCTTTCTAAACGCCAATGGGATTGGGATAATCCTCATTTGAATTTTGCCGCTGCTCTACTTCTGCGGCGTCTCGGGGATTTCCCAGATGGATTTGGCAGACTCTCCAGCCTCAGACTTCACAGCAGGCTCTTTCTTGACAACAGGAGATTTGATGCCAGGAGGTTTGACGCCAGAAGATTTGACACCTGAAGACTTGGCGGCGGGAGGACCGTTCTTCTTAGGCTGCGCAAAGGGAATGGTCGACTTGGACGTGAAGACAGGGAGGTCTGCGCGCTTCATCTTGGCCAGCGGTGCCTTGGACGACGATGCTCTAGGTGGCGATAGCTTGGCGGGCGATGGCTTGGTTGGCGACTTTTTGGCCGGCGGCACCCTTGATGGTGACTTTGCCGGTGATGATTTGACAGGTGTATTGGTGTTGGGTGGCAGCCACTTCAGTGGCTCTTGCGGTGTCATGGTGACTGGTTCCGGACCTTCCGGCTGGTAATTGATAAACACATCAGAGCCCGACGGCGTCTGCACTCCCGGCGAGACGACTGGCGAACTGGCAGGCAGCTCGACCTGAAGGGGATCCGACACGGTCGCAGACGCCTGCTCAATGATGGTCTTTGGCTTTGGAGTCGGCGCCAGAGGATCCGGGGATGACATGTAATCCCGCTCCGATGGCACCGCCTCCATGGGTGGCGTAGCAAGGGGCTCGTTCCCGGGAAGAACCACGGGAGCTTCTTCCTGGGGGGGAGTAATGATGGGCTCTTGGAACTCATAAGGGGGAGTGTTGACCGGTGGCGGTGTGACGGGCTGCTGCTCTTCAACAACGGTTGGCTCGTTGAGAACGAGCGGCTCCTGGGTGATAGGCGGCGTCTCAGAGGAAAGCGCGTCAACAGACGGTGCCTCGACAAATGGAGCCTCGGCAGAAGGAGTCTCGCCAGAAGGAGTCTCGATAGAAGGAGCCTCAACAGAAGCCTCGACAAAAGGCACATCGACAGAAGGAACCTCGGCAGCAGAGGGCGTCACTGCCGTCGTCTGCTCAGGCTGCGTTGCCTGCGCCTCAGCTGCTCGTGCTGCCTGCGCAGTCTGGGCTGCCTGGGCTGCTTGAGCAGCCTTTGCCCGCTCTTCCTTTTGAGTCTTGGTGATCAAGTTGATCTTGATCTTCTTCATACCGGCAGTGAGCTTGTCCATGTCGTCCTCAGATGCAGCCGCTGGTGTTGCCTTGGGCTGAGGCGGCTGGGACGGTTGACCGGGTTGAGGAGGGGTGGTCTTTGCTGGTACAGCGGGCTTCTTCACTGTTCGTGTGGTCTTGGGGGCTTCCTTCTTCGCTGCAGGAGCTCTTGTTTTCTTCACGTTCAGAGAAGGCCCGGCGGTGGTCCGCACACTCATCGAAGATTCGGGGCGAATGGTCATCGACGTCTCCGGTCGAATCGTCATCGAGGTATCAGGACGCATGGTCATAGAAGTCTCGGGACGCATGGTCATTGACGTATCAGGTCGAACACTCATCGAGGTGTCAGGGCGGTAAAGACCTCCGTTGTTCTCGTATGGCGCTGCAGTCGCCGTAGAAACCACAGACGACGCAGCACTAAGACGTCTACCGGGTCGTTTGGCTGCTCCGTTGGCCTCAGAGGGGATACCTCGGGCGTTGGCCTAGGAATCACGTTAGCTAGGGGTTCTTGGATGCATCTCAGAAGTGACAAAGTCTACCTTATCCGACGAAATTGCGGCAGAACCGGCCACCGTCCTTCGCCTGTTCTTGCCCTTATCATCCTCTTCTGTGTACGTCACGGGTTTGCGCTCACGCAGCGACATGCGAGAAGTCGGCCTGCTTTCCGAGGGAACAGGAGCGGGAGGCGCTGGCGGTACGAGGTCGGGGTTAAGAATCGACTGACGATCTCTGCGCGCCCTCGTTGCCTCCGCGTTGAGGTCCTCCGGTTTACAGCTATCGACCTGGCGGTCGGAGGGGATGAGCAATCTGCTCAGCTCATGAGCCGCGATGGTCCAATGAACGTCGGGAGGAGGAGGCGTTGGCGGTCGGGAGTATACCATTCCGTGACCAGAGGCCATGCGTCTCAACCGCGTGGGATCCACGGCCTTACCGATAGATGCCGCCGTAGGTGTAGAGTAATTTCCTGGCGTAACCTGGCGTATCATCTTCGGGCTGGCTGGACGGTTTCCCATCGCCACCTCGAGCTCGTCAAGCTCTGAAGCCGCCCACCATGACGGGTTGTAAGGGTGCAGCGAAGGGAAGGATGACTCCGTGGCCATGGGCTGGCCCTCACGAATCGCCCCTATCCTCTGTCCCATTTCATAGCCCAGTGATGAGCGGCCCCTAGATTGCTCTCCCGCCGTCTGGTCCCCTGAGAGCCCGCTCAGGTGGCTGAAGATGCCAGAGTACAGCGCCCGGTCACTATAGCCTCCCTCGAGGACACTGATGACACGACCTTCCACACTTAGCCCCTCCTCTGTAGCAAGTTTGACGACATCTTGGGCAATGCGGGCGTAGAATTCGGTAGGCACGTTCACATTATGACGCTGCATACCCTTGGTTTCCCACTCGCTGGCGTCAAATCCTGCGGAAAAGAAAATAGCCGCTTTGGGCGGCAAGTTGAGAGCACGCACACGGGCAGACTGTGTCTTCAAGTAGCTGCGCGTCTTTTCGAGAATGATGGAGTACTTGGTCTCATACAATTCCCAGAACTCGTCTGGAGAGTCCCACGATCCCAAATGAACGTTCCACATGTTTTGTCCATGAGCATTGTCAATGCACAAACTTGCGTTCTTCACCTTCTCCTCATCGCCCATCTCACAGGGATACGAGTTGATGTCGTGGAGACTGAAGTATCCGATGGAGGCCTTCTTCCACGCAGCGGCGTTCTTGGCCATGTTCACTCCTCGGGAGTTGTGCGCCCAGGCAATGGCTTGAGAGCCGTCACCATGGTGGAGATCGAAGTCGATGATGGCAGCGTGCGTCAAGCCGTGGTTCAAAATGGCATGCATGATTCCGACATGGACATTGTTGACCCAGCAGAAACCCGAGGGATAAGAAGCCGAGCAATGGTGCCCTGGTGGTCGCACTGCGACAAATGCTCTCCGGGGGCCAGAAGTAAAGACCCTGTCGACGGCTTCGCATACAGCGCCCAGCGCACCTTCAAAGGCTTCCTGGGACTCCGCGCAGAGGTAGAGATCGCCCTCGTGGAACTTGGCAGGCGGGCCATCTGCGCCTCGGTTCATCTCCGGTCGCTGGAGCTCCTTGCCTCCCATGGACAGCTTGGCCTCCGCTACCTCGCACATCGTCTTGAGCTCCTCCATCCACTTGGTCCCATGCACGTTGGTCACCGCTGGTGAGTTGAGAGACAGCCTGCGTTCGGTCTTGTAGATGCGGAACGGAATGTTCGGAATGACGGAGGGATCCAGACTCGGATGGAGAGGGTAGGAACCGTCGCAGTGTCGCTCACCCAGTCGTACGTACGCCATTGCTACTCCCAACACACCGGCCTTGATTCTCTCTGGTCGCTCGACGATGGTGCTCAGGGCTGCCTTGGAGGTCTTGGGCCGGGAGAAGCGGTGTCCGTAGCAGGCATCGTGCAGAATGACGACGGTCTCGGTGCCAAGCGTGGAAAGGGGGGAATGGTGTGTCGCAAGTTCGGTCTTAAAGTAGTCGCGGGCAATCGTGTTCGCCGTAGGGGGAGGCTTGATGTACTCAGGGGGACTCGTTCGTAAAGGGGATTTGGCAACAGGCGAGGAGGCATGTGCCATGCTCGTCCGTCGCCCGCTCACGGAGTGCAAGGAGCTTGTAGAGGACTTGCGCTGGAGGGTGGGCGTCGCAGATCGCTGCGGCAGCGTCGGGGTGGAGGATCGGGACCTGGACAGTTCTCTTGCGAGGGAGGGGCTCCGGGAGGGCATTCGCGGGCTCGGGGCCGGAGATGCTCTGTTGACAGCTGGTCTCATTGGCGACAAGGCACTCGGGGTGCGGGGAGAGTTGGCGACAGGAGAGCCAGTCGAGAGGGAAAGCTGCCGGAGCGAATGCGACAAGTCCTTTTCGGCATCGGGGGGTGTGTTCAACGTCGATTGGCGCCGCGATGGCGCTCTATTGTAAGGAGAGGCCATGGCTGACGCGCGAGTCCCATGGATCGTGCAGAATCTCGCAGTCGTGCAGCAGGACTAGGCCGGACTAAGAAGATGGTAAAAATAAGGGTTGACGTTGGAGAAGAGAAGACCCGAAAGGTGTTGTTTTGGGCTGGAATTGTCAACTTTCGGCTTACCGTAGTGACAGGGTAGAGTGGCAGGGTCTCTGTCCAAATACGTCAGGCGAAGGTGGGTGTGTCATTTGAGTTGTTGACCGCCCGCCTGCCCGCCAGCGCATCGTCAAAAAAAAAAAGTCGCGTCCACTTTGTGTACAAACACGCGTCATAACCCGTTGCATAAATCCCATCACGTGGGGCATCAGCAACAACAGAAGGAGAGGCGGGGCAATCCCTCCCATTTCTCGAATCTCTCTTGCCGGGAGCAGCCACTTATTTTAATGGAGTTCCGACGGCGCCATGTGGGGGAATGATCTTCACCAGGACAGTGCAGCTTTATTCACTTCATTTATTCTGTTTCCTTTCTTCTGCTTCTCCCACCCCACGTTCAAGTCTCTCGACTCTGAATCTTCTGCAACACCGACTCAAGTGAGACCATCGTGACCCAGCTTCTTCAACATCCCAGATCTTACGTAGCGGCCCCCATATTTGTGACACAAGATCTGAGCACGTCCCGATTCACCACACTGCATCTTCGAGCAATGACCACGAGCTGGTGTGGGGGCTCCGATCGGGAGACAAAAACGACTTGATCTCGGTTGCCGGCAAGGGGCTTGATTTTGTGGTCAATGAATGGCATGGGTTGATGCCGATGCAACAGGAGTGGCTCTTCCATAAGTCTGGGGTTGAGCTGTGCAAACCTACATAAGGTCGGAGATGTGCATGCACCTCATGACGAGGGAGCTTGTGACTCTGAGAGCTGCAATGAAATGGTGAGGCCGACCAGGAGTCGACTGGGCGGCGCACTCCTTTTCATATACCTAAGATTTGGGCAACCTATAAGTCTTGCTTACGCCTTCATAATCGCCCGGCATAGCCACTGCCGCCCTTCGTCGGTGGTTTTACATGCGCCAAGGCGGCGCGGGTTTCTGCCTTCACGCAGCTGGATTTCTGCACTTTTCGTGGTAGATTCCTGAAATCATGCTACGGGACTTTGGCATAGGTCAACCTAGTAGTAAGCCTGACCCATATCGTATGACTTCTTCTGTCTACGCTTGGGTTCGTCGGTTTTCAAGGTGTGCCGCCTGCTAGCCGTGCAGGTTTCTGGGCACGGAGTGACCATCTCCAACCCCGATCATCTCTCTGCATCGCCTCTACCCGCATTGTCTGTCTTACGGTCATTGGTCTGCTATGACTTGGCCAAATTGCACAAGACCTGTGCATCCCGCCCGGTTGCCTTAAGCGAATGGTTGGCATTATAGTCGGGCGTCGAGGTCTGCGAGAGCCAAAATTGATGGAACCTTTCATATATGGCAGCGGTGCCGATCATGGATGTCGTTGATGTGTCAATAGTCTTTATTGTATTAGCATTAGTTCTTCGTGCCGATAGTTATTAGAGCAACATATCTCAAAATGTACATCAATTCCTTCCCTTCTAGCTGTCTCGGTCTCCTGGGTCTTCTCTCCGCCTCGTTTATCGATGGCCAGAGAACCGTCACTCGCGACGCATGTGCCATCGCGAGGTCCGTCGACAACTCTTGCACCGCAAGATTCAGCATAGACCGAACCAAGATTGGGCTTGATACGACCTGGACAACGCCCCCGGTGATAACTTACGACGGAGTGGACGTCGTCAGATGTTTCTGCTGTCTGGAAGAGGCGCCCCTGACGCCCGTCTGGTCCTCATGTGCAGCGCAAATCGAGACCGCAAGCCCAGAGAAAGACCGTGAGATACCAAATTTTCCTCTTGATTTGCTCGACGTTCGAGCTGACGCAAGGAACAAACAGAGTACCTCGAAAACCTCGAAGACTGTCTTGGGTTCGAGGAGTGTCGAGTAGAGACTGCGACTCCGGCAGCCTGTCACACCATGAGCGACTGGGTCATGGGATGCTCTTCGCATGTCAAGCCGGAGACCATGTCATCAAGTGAGCGATTCTCGCGCATGGAAGAATGCCTTTGGTATGTATTGCCTTTGGCTGCAACGTTGAGCTTCTTGACTAACAAGTGGCAAGCCCCACGTCTGCTCCAGGTGCCTTCAATAACGCACACGAAGCTTGCGGCAACTGGGCTTGGATTCACAACCCTGAGTATGGTTCCTGTAAGACTCCTCGTTCTCAGATTCACGGTTAGTTTCCTTCGCGTCCATGGCTGACCCGTTGTTTGCTTGCCATGCAGCTATGCAATCCATTGCGCCGTACTGGTGTAACTCTAATCTCGACACCACAATTTACTCAGCCACGGCCACAAGCTCTGTCTCCTTCGAGGATTTATCCAGCACTGCCTTTGCATCAACGTCCCTAACATCGGCATCAAATCCCTCTGTCCCCACCTCTACGATGAACTCCGCTATACCATCGAACACGGTAGCAAGCCAAGCCACGAACTCGTCTGGACAGCCGAATACTAGCATCGTCGTTGTCATCGCTATAGTTGTGATTGTTTTTATGATGGTGGGAGGCATTGCGATTTGGTCGAGCGTTAAGCGTCCACGGGATGATTACGGTATACCCATTTGAGGGAGATCTAGGAGACAGGGGGCTTGGGAAAGAGTTTTGCTATCCGGCCGGATACCTCTAGCTATCTAGGTGAATAACTACATGTATTAAGCCTGATAGTACATTGATTAACATGGTTATACTATTTCTGACGTCGCTTTTGTATTTATTATCACTATTATTACTATTGTCCTAATTGTCTCTATTCTAACTTCTCTTACTATTAATATCGTCGTCATCCCTATCGTCGTCTATTCCCACTACCCGTCCGAATAGCAAAACTCTTGGGGAAATTATAACTATAACGGGTGCAATAACAATCTTTTGTGGCTTCGCGGATGTAGTGCTTCGTTAACAGCTAGGATACACTCATGTTGTTCGCAAAGGCAGCAGCTTGAGTTCGCTCCTTCACTGTCATTCTGGTTTCCTGCACTACTGTCATTCCCACAAGTCTTGCGAGTCCCTAATCTGAATCCGCACTGCAAGATCACTTCTCCAAATCAAGTTCACAAGGAAGCATCAAGGCCTACGATGTCCCTTGAGAAAGCTGAGTCGCATCACGCAGCTGTACACGACGTTGCCGCTATGTACAAATAAAAGGGCGGCAAGGATGTTTCTAATCAGTCTCAGCATCTTCTACAAGGATACTTTGAATACAACGCAATGCCAACACTCAGTGGAAGAATTTTTCGTGGTGGAACGTTCATTCGGATCGAATGAAGGTTTTCAATCCACTCAACAAGACCAGTGTTGTGAATCAAGGACCATGAAGCGGACATTTCACTCATACCAATCAACTCAGTGAATTGACAACCCGTTCTACCATTATTATAAGATGTCGCGGAAGCTGTCTGATGCAGCATATTCACAAACCAGAGTCACGTATACAATAGTCAGCATCAGATTTCAAAATCGCAAGCAGCAAGATGGCAGCCAGACTCGACGACGTCCCCGAGATCGCGGATACCTGCAAACTGATCCTTGCCCGCACCAATAAGTTTTTGGCCGACAAAGACAGGAACCCCAGAGTCGTAAGGCCGAGCCCCTTTTGTATTCCCTGTTATATCTTGAAGCAAGTCCTGTTAATAAGCATCACCCCTTCTACAGACAGACGAAACGTGGCGACCCGCCAACTGGGCCATCACCGAAGTCACCCGCACGATCCCGAAGGTCAAGGAGACCATCCACCACATCCGAGAGTGCGCCGACGCCGAGCGCAAGAAGCTGCCCACCATCAATTACACCGCGTGGACGCAGTCCATGAGACGGGCGCCGGGGGACCCGTACGCGCGAGGACCCCCTGGCGACGATGTTTTGATCAATGACATCCCCCGCCTCGCTGACAGGTTCACGGCGCTTGCGGAGCGGTTCCGGGAGCTCGAGGAAAAGCCGTACAAGCGCGGCGATGTATGTTTGATAAACCTTGGGCAATCTATTTGGCGGGGTAGTGTACTGATTTTGCCGATAGGATGTCATGGCGGCCTATGACCATGTCAATGTGGTCTTGATGGAGTGCCGGTGGGTGAAAAAGTGGCTGCCGGCTGCTTTGGATGCCGTTACTTATATTCTGACGGGGGAGGGTCGTGAATTCCATTCTGACTCGGAAGATTCCAGTTGAAGTGAGATGCCGGACTTGGTCGGGAGACAAGCGTGGTTCTGTAAGCAAGGTCTACAGGTTTAGTGAGAGACAATATCCTTCATAGCAAACTCGGTTTAGGTGACACATCAGATCATAGATACGCCGCTGATGGTTGTCTTGAAATTTGGGCTTTATTCTTGTTATTTTACAGAACCATACATAGTACAAGGCACGCTTGCCCACATCAGCCAGAGAAGACGGTTCTAATCTTCAATCATCCTGGGCATAACTTTCATCTCCTTCGTGGCTACGACTCAAGACAAGTCAATGCCATAGGTCTCCTTGCTTCCAGTCTGCTCAGGCTTGTACGGCTGCTGAGGTGTGCGGAAGTACGGCGTAGGGGCGGCGGCAGCGGTTCCCCTGAGCCCCGCGAACGGCGCCCTCGGCTCAGCTACCGGAATCGTGGAGACGTCCTTGTCATTGTAGATTTTCTCCTTGCCGGTCATCTCCTTGAGGACTGATTGCGACTCCCCTTCGGCAGCGTCAAGGCCAATCAGAATGCGGCCAACAGAGCTCATCCATGCCGACACTGGCTTGACGTAGGCCTTTGCGCCACCCTTCACATCGGGATCGAAAGAGGTTATGCCGGCAATGCGGTTCTTGTGGTTGCCTCTGAACGATCTCTCGTTAAAGGCGTTGTCGCCCAGGGGCACGTCGGTGACGAAACCGGCCACACCGAGCTTGGCGTGTTGGGTGCCCTGTCGCGGCGCGATGATACGCGCCAACACGGGCGTGTGTTCCGCCTGCGGTCCGTAGACGGGGTGGTTCTCGGCAAAGGCCGAAGTACGCAAGTAGGAGATACCGGCGGAAGGGTGGGACATCGGCGGGCCAACTTCTGCCCATGTGCTAGGCCGGGTGTTCTGGGTCACGTCGACGAAGTTTTTCGCTGTGGGCGGTGGTTGGAGAGGAGCAAGATCCAGGAATTTGCTGATGTGGGTGAAGAGAAGTACTCGGTCGGCACGTATCTTGCGCTGGTACTGAAGGACCTGGTCCTCAGTGATGTCCTTGGCTGTGACCGGCTCCGGGGCCTCGCTGCCTCTGTCGAGAGCAGCCTGACGTCTGTCTTTGTTGATGTCCTCGGCGAGAACCTCCCTGAGATAGTTTCGGAACTCCTCGCGCTTGCTACGGACGCTCTTGCGCAGGTATCGGTCGAATTCGCCCTCGGTCAGACCAGCGAGCCAAGGACCCTGAAACTTCCACCTGTTGTCCTCGGCGGCACCATCCTCCAGTGTTGTGAAGTCATGCTCGTCCTCGAAGACGGATTTGGGGGCGGCATTCAGGGTTCCAAGGCGAACCCTGTTCGAGGTGGGTAGTGAGACGGGGAGGTTCATCTCCTGGAACTTTTGAAGGGTGATAGCATGGTCGGCGGCGGAATTGTAGTCGGTGACTCCCTCGAGAGTATCGATCTGTTTGACTCGCACAATTGGCGTCGAGGTCTTGATCGTCTTCTGGATGGGAAGGGAGCGCTTGAAACCCCAGTCGCCGAGTTTCCTCGAGGACTCGGGGGTAGTGATGGCTTGATGTGTGGGATAATCGGTCGTCGCGCTGGGGGAGAGGCGGCGAGCGACGGCACCAGCCTCGCCGCCGGGTTGCGGAAGCGGATTCGGAATTGTGAACATCCGCGAGGAGCGCAGAAGCGCTCCTCCGGGCGTCAATCGGGCAGACATTGCGGCTGTCTGAGCACGTCGTCGGAGGCTCGGTCGTCAATCGCAAGTATCACAAGAATTGGCGTCGTTGCGGGAGAAATTTCAATTGGAGGTGGCCGGAATATGCCGGAGTCGTCTGATTGGACAACAGCTACCCCTGCTGGCAGTGAAGCGCTGGGGCCCGGGGGTCGAGTCCAGGCGCGGGACGGGAAGGGTCAACAACTGCGAAGTCGGGTACTCAAGGTCGGTTCAAGTATCCTACATTGTTAATCTCGCTCTACAATTTCTACGAAAGCTTTTACTCGGTTCAATGAGCCATCATCAATTTTACTAAGAGTTTTCTGGTTAATATATCACATGCCTTGAGACGCCAATCGAGTGCAGTGACAGTGACCAGTACCTGTTGGTCCCCCACTAAGACGTCCAGCCCATGCACACCCCACCACGAATCACAGGTGCCTTGTTAGGAAACTGCTCCTTCTAGCGCGGGCATCGAAGTTGGCAACTGACATTTTCCAACCACTCTCTCTCACACTCTCTCTCACTCGACTCCCTCCGGCAGCTTGCGGACTGCACGATCGTCCATGTGGGCAGCGAAAAGGATGGCGTCAACCACCGTCGGGTCCTCGCCCGCACTCACCTTCGAGCTCGTTGCTCGCTGTTCAGTAGGTAGCCATGGGATTGATCGCATGACTCTGCCCTGGCTGGACGGTGCTAACAACCTAGGCTAGACGACAAGAGCTCGCGCATCCATCCTGACGCTTCCTCATGGTTCGGTCCAGCTTCCCATGTTCATGCCGGTCGCAACCCAGGCTTCGCTCAAAGGCTTGACCCCCGAACAGCTCGAAGAGACCGGTTGCCGGTTATGTTTGAACAACACCTACCATCTTGGCTTGAAGCCTGGACAGGAGGTTCTCGATGCCGTGGGCGGGGCGCATAAGCTCCAGGGATGGAAGCACAATATCTTGACGGATAGTGGAGGGTAAGAATACAAAGGATCTGCGTGCAAACGGAACTGCGACTGACGTCCTACAGCTTCCAGATGGTCAGTCTTCTCAAGTTGGCCCACATCACTGAAGAGGGCGTGCGCTTCCTCAGTCCGCATGACGGCTCGCCGATGCTTCTGACGCCGGAGCACTCGATGTCTCTGCAGAACTCGATTGGAAGCGACATCATGATGCAACTGGACGACGTCCTGGTCACAACATCTCCGGATGCCGCCCGCATGCGCGAGGCCATGGAGCGCAGCGTACGTTGGCTTGATCGCTGCATTGCTGCGCACAAGAACCCCACCACTCAGAATCTCTTCTGTATCATCCAGGGTGGTCTCGACCTTGAAATGCGCCGCGAGTGCACCCGCGAGATGCTCGCCCGAGACACCCCTGGAATTGCCATTGGTGGACTGAGCGGTGGTGAGGCCAAGGCCGACTACTGTCGCGTTGTCGAAACGTGCACCGGACTGCTGCCTGATCTCAAGCCGCGCTATGTGATGGGAATTGGCTACCCGGAAGATTTGGTAGTGAGCGTTGCGCTGGGCGCAGACATGTTCGACTGTGTCTGGCCCACGCGAACAGCACGTTTTGGTAATGCAATCACGAAAGCTGGCGTCCTGAACATCCGTAACTGGAGGTACGAGCATGACTACGGTCCCATCGAGGAGGGCTGTGGTTGTATATGCTGTAGGAGGGGCGAGGGCAGTTTGAATGTCACCCGGGCTTTCATTAACCACAACGCCGGCAAAGAGACTGTGGCTGCTCACTTGTTGAGTATACATAACGTATGGTATCAGTTGAACCTGATGAGGGAAATTAGGCAGTCCATCATTGAGGATAGGTTCCCTGCATATATCAGGGAGTTCTTTGGTGGCTTGTATGATGACAAGGCAAAGTATCCCGAGTGGGCAGTAGATGCTCTGAAAGGGGTTGGTGTAGATTTGACAAAATAGTAAAAACATGTTGATACCCACGAGGAGTTTTTGGAGCAAGTTAGATTTGCCAAAGAGAATATCTGCGATGGCCTTGCCCGGCGTTTTTCTCTCGTCCGAACTTCATGAGAATATCAAGGCACGGTAAGGCCGGGTAGGTGAGTAAATCAATCTGTACCATCTCGAGGATTTGCGCCAACGGCAGCGAGCGCGAGCGGTCCAGTACGGCGGCGCCAAGTCCGGTACCCATGATCCGGCCGGTGAGTCGACCGGGGTGCCGACCCGGAAGCCCCATCAATTCACGTGAACGTCTGCAGCGCACGGACCATTATCCCCACTCTCGGCTGGCCTGCCCTAACGAGTGTGCACACTATCGCATCTTTTTTTTTCAACTCAGCGACGACCGACGACAGCCTCCATCTCGACAACTCACTAACCCCCGTCCACCGTTCCCAGCAACCACCTGAGCCAATACCGCCAAAATGGGTCGCGTTCGTACCAAGACCGTCAAGAAGTCCGCCAAGGTCATCATTGAGCGTTACTACCCCAAGCTCACCCTGGACTTCGAGACCAACAAGCGCATCTGCGATGAGATCGCCATCATCGCCTCCAAGCGCCTCCGCAACAAGGTCAGAATACCTCCCGAGAGAGGCGCGCTGCCGGGGCGCCTTTTGGGCCACGGCGAGCGTGCTGCGAAAATCTCACGAAGAGAAGGGGGAATTTCATGCTGACGGTGGATTGAATTGCAGATTGCTGGTTACACCACGCACTTGATGAAGCGTATCCAGCGTGGCCCCGTCCGCGGTATTTCCTTCAAGCTCCAGGAGGAGGAGCGTGAGCGCAAGGACCAATACGTCCCCGAGATCTCCGCCCTCGACTTCACCCAGAACTCCGAGAGCGGCCAGCTCGACGTCGATGTCGAGACCAAGGACCTGCTGAAGCACCTTGGCGTACGTCCTTCTCCCTCCAGACACCACGGCGGACAACAACCTACGTCCCCGCGGCAACAGACAATGATGACGATGCTAACTTGCCGTGACGCAGTTCGACGCCATTCCCGTCAACGTCATCCCCGTCGCCCAGACCCAGGTCCAGGAGCGCGGTGGCCGCCGCTTCGGCGACCGCCCCCCTCGTCGCGACTAAATTGTTTGCTCAGGAAAGAAGGAAAAAACGGGGTGGAAAAGTTTACGGTCTCACGGCAACAACGGCAACGGCATATCATGATACATTGCTACAGGCGTCTCGAGGACGGTAGTGAGTTGCATTTTAGGAAACTGGAAAAAAGTTTCTTCTCCCACACAAGGTGTCGCCGATTCTCCTGGAGCACTCCGGAGATGACGCTTGATTGCCAATACCACCCCCCTTTTTACTGTGATGATTCTCTCTAACCGTGAAGCCATGGCCCTGTCGAACCTCTGTCGGTACGCCGTTCAATGGCTTCGACGCGGTGACGCGGCACGAGAATGTGAAAATGAGGTTGAAGTGCTGTCAAAATTCGCCGCTCTTTTGGGGGTATCAAATCTACTTCCGTTGATGACTGGTTTTACTGCCAGCCATCGGGCCGTCCACGCTTTAAATCCATGCTCCTAATGGCCCAAATTCCTCTGCAATGCTACATCATGACATTTCTATGTCGGCCTTCTGGGCCTCCATCAACTTTTCCAATTCGGCCATTTCAACTTGAGCCTGCGTCTTTCCAGCTCCCGGCCTGTGACCTTCAACGAGCAAATGTGCATCGTCAGGTCCTGCCGTAAACGCGCCCTCTACGGGCGGTTTCGTCTCCCTTTCTCGGATGGCCAACGTCATCTGCTTGCCCGGCGTCGCCTCCTTCTTCACCTCACCTCGCTCCATGGCCAAGGTCGCAGTCTGGTCTCCCGCCCTCCTGCCCTCCTCCAGCCTCAGATTGGCCAGGTCCCGCGCAGCCTTCGCGGCCGGGTCCTCCGCCGGCTTCTCCTCGCCGAGCAGCTCGATCTCAATGTCCGGGATGCCTGCGCGCTCCCAAGCCGCCGTCTCGTTAAGCTGGACCTTGACGTAGAGCGCGCGGCGCTGGCAGTCCTTGGAGCACCACTTCTCGGACTCGCGGCGGTTGACAATGTCAAAGTCGCTGCGGCCGACGTTGACGAGCTTCCACTGGCCGCCCTTGGAGGCGGCGGGCTTGGGCTGGGCGCAGAGGGTGTAGCCGCACAGGCCGTTCACGTTGCGCTCCTCGATGAGGTCGTCGTAGTCGGAGGGCTGGAAGAGGCGGACGTTGGCCTTGAAGTCGGCGACGTCGCGCGGGGCAGGGTTGGCGGAGGAGTGGCGTGGGCTGCCGCGGACCGTCGGATACTCGGAGAGGAGGGCGAGGGATTCGAGGATCTGGAGCTCGAGCTCTTTGCGCTGGTGGATGATGCGGGCGTGCTGGATGGCGATCTCGCGGGGGTCTGGCCTGGGTTGTTCTGGGGGGGCGGCTGGTTTCTTGAGGATGCCCTTGAGAGGCCGGGCATCGGTGGCCATTTTTGGGATCGAGGTTTTGGTGAATTGGAGGATGGAGTGTGGATGACTTGATGAAGAGTTCAGGTGTGGGCTGGGTTGGTTCTATGGAGATGCGAGACTCGATTGAAGCGAGAGCTGTGAGAGTTCAAGAGCCGACAGCGACCGTTACTGTAGAGATTGGTTGGTGAGACAGAGTGAGGTCTAGGGGCGTGACGAGAGTTGCGACAGCGAGGGCGGCGATTGGTGAGGGTGAAAATTGTTAAGGCGCGTTGGAGAAGATTCGATGCTGCTTGAGCTCGCGACCCCACATTCAGATCTGGTGCTCCGAGGTGGTGCTGGCGCAGTGCAGACGGTGACAATTGGTAAGAAAAGGTACGTATCGATGAGGGGCCAAGCCGGGCCGCTACATTCAGGTCCCTTAGGTAAGGTACACCACCAGACAGCTTTGCTGAATCCTACCTTAGGTACAGAACATTGTTCGTGGTAGCTCGGGGCTCGCGGGTGGCTTGGCTGGCACGCAGTCCGGTCTCTCGACCATCATGTAGGATGATCTCATTGGTGCAGGTAGCTGAAGAAAGGAAGCGCATTCTCGTCCGGTCCTCACCTCCAACACTGGTTCGACCGGCGCTGACGGGGTTGCCCTGTGCCACAAGCACCGTTCGGTTACCTAATGTTTGTATGGATGGATGGATATGCTCACAGTCGTGACCTGGGATGATGGTTGTGGTTGCCTCTCCAAAGGATCCCCCGCTCTCCAATTCAAGGCGTGAGCCACCTCAGCTGCCAGGCATACCTACCTTGCAGCATCAGCCCGACGACCTCCGGCTACCTGCCTGACCAACATCTGCCACTGCTACCCAGTTGTTGGCGTTGATCTACCCTTGCAAAGTACCTTGCCGTGCCTACCTTAGTAGATAGGTGAGCAAGTGAGGTACACCACCTCATCGTGCCAGCCAACCACGAGCTCCGTCGAGCCTGGCTGTGCCTCGTGCTGCGCTGGCCCATCTTAGTCCTGCCGTTGCTCCCGTCCATGACGGCGTATGGCGAGACTGTTTGAGAATCCTGAAGTGAAGCATCACGCCTAATAATATTCCCTCCGCCTTCGCCTCCTTCGAGAAGCAACCCAAAATCCACTCCACACCCCGAAACCCCAACTGCTTGCAAAGGCAACACACACAACACCACATATCAGACAGTGACACTCTTCCTGCCCCCGTATTCTTGGGACGACGTTATACGAACGAACCCCTGCTCTTAGCACCGCCTGCCAGTCACCGTACATACCGACCAACCTAAGATACGGATAGTGAGGTGCTCTCTACGGACACTGACTGAGAGGCACAGCGCACCTTAGTGAGGCGCTGGCCCGCCTACCTAGGCAGACATATTCGACGAGACCGCCCCCCTCCCATCGGCCAGCTTCCCGCCCGCATATTGCGGCTCCCGTCCCTCTTCCTTCCCCAGCGCAGCGCAGCGACGCAGACGCACCACACCTAACCACGCAACCTCCCACCCCCGGAAGCTTGGGCAGACAACCAGCCAGGCCTCTCTCTGCTGCAACCAAGTGACAGAACACCAAAAAATCATTTGTCACCGCGGCCCAAAATACTGCATGGAATTCTCCATTCTGCGCCCCGGGCTGCATACATGACTCTTGTGTGCGCATAGGTGTCCCTCCCAGGTAAGGGCCCCCAATTGCCCCGGCACATTGAACTAAGAGAGTTACAAGTTCATGCGCTGACGTCGACACGCCAACTGTAGATCCCTCCACCCCCGTCTTCCTCGTCACAGGTCACAGCCTCTCTCTGTCTCTCTCTTTCCTCCGGCAAGACCCCGTCGGTTCCCAATCCCAGGTCACCTCAACCCCCTCCATCGGTTTGAGAAAATCCGTCCCTCCCTCCGGCCACAACTCGCGATCTGCCCATCAACCCATCGCCAACCCAGCGCGTTTGTGAGCTGTGGCTGCTGCTAATCGCTGCTGCCCGAATAACGCCCTGCTATTCGCTTCCCGCCCGCTACTGCAGCCAACAGCCCATCCATCCCATCAGTGCAGCGCACCGCAGCGCCCCAGGTCAAAGCTGCTGACGACGATTCCGATTCCGTTGCCCCACACCCCAGAGCAGCAGCTCGCCCTGACCTGCTCGACTCCTCTTCCAACTACCTACAAACCAACACGAACGACGACAACCCGCACACCCCCGACGACGACGATTTGAATATTGCCGGCCATGTCGACCGTCCCCTTCAGGGTCAAGGCCCTGTTCGAATACTCTTCGCCCCACGATGATGATTTGCAATTCCCCGCCGGCGTCATCATCACTGTGACCGATGAGGAGGATGCCGATTGGTATGGTGGGGAATACGTCGACGACTCCGGCTTCAAGCACGAAGGCATCTTCCCTCGCAATTTCGTCGAGAAGTTCGAGCCCCAGGCCCCGCCTCGCCCGACGAGAACGCGCAAGAAGGAGCCCGAGGTCACATCTCCCGCCTCCGAGCCGAGCGCGCCAGCTCCCCCTCCCGCTCAGCCAGAGCCCCTGCCCGTCCAGGAACCCGAGGTTCAAGAGGAGCAACCTGCGCCGCCCGTCCCGGCTGCTCTCCCCGCCTCGCCCGAAGCTCCCGCAGCTCCCGAACCCGTGCCCGTGAAGGCACCCGAGCCTGTCCCTGAGCCGACCCCGGCTGCTCCGGCCCCGAAGCCTAGCGAGCCTCCTGCGGCAAAGTCGCCCCCCATCGCCAAGGCATCTCCTGCTCCATCGAAGCCGGGACCGCCCCCGAAGCCTTCCAGCAATGCATTCAAGGACCGCATTGCGGCTTTCAACAAGGCTTCTGCTGCGCCCATCACACCTTTCAAGCCCAGCGGATTGGCTGGCGGAACTGGTTTCATCAAGAAGCCCTTTGTTGCTCCGCCGCCTAGCCGAAACGCATATGTCCCGCCTCCCCAGCAGGCCCCAATTGCAAAGGTCTACCGGAGAGACGAAGACCCCGAGATACAAGAGCGAGAGGCGGAAAACCAAGAGACTGCCGAGAAGGCGGCACCGGCTGCGGCTGCGACCGAGGAAGGCGAGGATGCCCCGAAGCCGTTGAGTTTGAAGGAGCGCATGGCCTTGCTCCAGAAGCAGCAGGTGGAGCAGGCCCAGCGCCACGCAGATGCCGCCGCAAAGAAGGAGAAGAAGCGGCCCCCGCCCAAGAAGCGTACCGACAGCCAGGAGGCTACTGAGGAAGCCGGAGGAGCTTCGGCTGCGGTGCCCGAGAGCCAGGACGCTGACCAGGCGGCGGCGCGAAGCTCCATCGACTCTCCTCGTATGCCACCACCCGCACCCAGGCGCAAGTCCTCCCGAGGCCCTGCTGCCGATGATGGAAACGACGCCGATATGAGCGGTGCCGGCGATACCACCGAAGGACAGGAAGACCTCACTGAGAGGGACGACAGCGATGCGGCGCCGCGCCCCATCCCCCGACCGCAAGTTGCGTCGCCTACCGAGACACGTCAAGAAGACGCACAGGAGGAGGAAGAAGAGGAAGAGGACGACGTGGACCCCGAGGTCCGCAGGAAGGAGGAGCTTCGTGCGCGAATGGCCAAGATGAGCGGCGGCATGGGCATGCATGGCATGTTCGGAATCCCAATGGGTGCACCGGCCCCGCCGAGGAAGAAGAAGGTCGAGAAGCCTGCTGAGGCACCTGCGGAGGAAGAGCGTGAGGAGGCAACGTCTCCTGTTGGACGCGTGCCGGTGCCGGGTATGATGGCATTGCCGGGAATGGGCGTCCCGAAGAGACAAGAGGAGCCTGTTGAGGCCGATGAACCCGAGCGCCCTACTTCTTCCAGAGCTCCGCCACCTCCTCCGCGAACGGTCGAAGAGTCACAGGAGGAGGCCGTCACGAGCCCTGCTCCCACATGTGAGCTTCCAGGAACAATTCACAGAATCACCTCTAACCAGCTAACAGTGCCCGCTCGCGAACCCGCTGGTGCACCCCCTGTACCGGGGTCCAGACCTGCACCACCTGCAGTGCCGGCTGAGGGTGAGTAGTATGACGGTAATAACTCTGGCTTTCACTGACGCGATCACAGGCCGACCTCCCACGGCTGGGCTTAAGTCTCCCAGCGAAGGTTCAGTGTCCGATGACGAACTGTCAGGCGGTGCTCAAGATACGCCGAGGCCCGAAGAAAGCACACGCGCCCCTCCTCCTCTGCCACCGGTCGCCACAGGTGCCTCCGTCCGATCGCCGCCTCCTATCCCAGGTAGCGAGTTCTCGCCAACTTCTCCTACCGGCGCTGCAAACAAGCGCATGAGCAGACCCCCACCGCCTATTCCTGGAGCCGCGCCAGCCATTCCGCCTGCTCAATCTCGACCGCCGCCTCCTCCTCCTCCAGGAGGGTCACTGAGTCGCCAGTCGACGCAGGACATGCATGTCGCGTCACCAATTTCCCCTCCTATTCGACCTCCTCAACAGGGCGAAGAGGAAGACGACGAGGTCACGGAGTACGAGGGCGACTACGACACCGACATTGCCTCGTCGGTCCCGCATAAGGATGCCCTCAAGGCTCATGCGCGAGACTCAAGCATTGAGGATAACACATCCGTCAGATCGCCCGTGTCTGATGCTCCACCATCAATGCCACCTCCGATCCCCACCGGTACCGCTCCCCGCGCCGTCCCGCCTCCTATTCCTTCCCAGCCCCCACCCCCGCCTACCGACAAGCGACGATCTGTGGATGTTCCGCGCGGAGCTCCCCCGCCTCCGCCACCTGGGAAAGAGCCGCCCGTTCCTCAGCAGGATGACGATGAGTACGACCCATACAACTATTCAGCTCCCAGGCTGCCGTACCAACGCACGCCAAAGATCGAGGAGGAGAGCTATTTCCAAACCGAGTCGCCGCCTTTGCCTTCTCCTGCGCAGTCAAGAGGTCCCCCGCCGGCGCCCCCTACGGGCCGCGCTCGGCAGTCCTTGGATGTCTCAAGAGCTTCCATGTCTCAGCGCCGATCTATGGATGCCTACAGACCCTCAGTCTCCGTCGAATCTGGCTTTATTGCTAACGATGTGGACCTGGCGAAGCAAAGCGGATGGTGGCGTCAGGAGAAGACTGTACCGCCTGTGTTCCAGGGAAGAAAGGACCTCTACTTTGAGACGGACGAGCAGACTCAGGGCTCTCAGGTCACGCGTACGATCTATGTCCTCTTCCAGGATTACTCGCAGACGACTATCACGGTTCAATATGACCAAAATAACGCCGCGGATGTCATGATTGACCAAAGACACGACTCGCCTCCTAGAGCCCTTCGCCAGGATGAGCTGGAGCAGTCTTACGAGCGTTTTGGACGTCCGATCGCTGACGCGGTCGCCTCTAAGAAGGAGACTGTTGTCGCCGACGGAACACCGCAGGGCCTGGTTCTCGAGCTCCTGAAGCCTTTTAATGATGTTCTTGCCCCTATCGGTACCAGAGCATACGGCGCTCTTGTCTATTCCAACATGGCCAACGCCTCAACGCAACAAAACGACCAAATCCGTGCCGGAGACATTATCTCGATCCGCAACGCCCGCTTCCAGGGTAAGCATGGACCAATGCACGCCAAATACTCGATGGAGGTCGGCAAGCCCGATCACGTTGCCATTGTCTCCGAGTGGGACGGAACCAAGAAGAAGGTTCGCGCCTGGGAGCAGGGCCGTGAGAGCAAAAAGGTCAAGGTGGAGAGCTTCAAGCTCGACGACCTGCGCAGTGGCGAGGTCAAGATCTGGCGTGTAATGCCCCGCAGCTGGGTTGGATGGAACAGCCCGGCGTCTTAGGAGACGACTAGGCCACGTCTTCCTCCAAGGGCGAGAGAACGTGCAGCGAGTACGGCGAGCACGAGCTCGCTGAAGAGCGGAAAGTCGTTGCGAAGGCAGCAGCGGCACCAGCAGCATTTCATCAGAGGTCAATACGAGGTCGACGAATCGGTGTGAGATGCATTGTTCTCGTGCGCACGTTGTTAAAAAACGGGAGAAGAAGAGAGATTAGAATGGGAGCGCGAACACCCCAAAACAAAACCTTCTTCATCTCTTGGGTTTTTCTTTTTTACCTAGTTGATCATTCGCTCTGTGCCCGCTGCATAACTTTGCTTTAGGTAGCTAGCAGCAACTCATTGATTGTGGTTACTCCATGCTCTTCTCTCACACCAGTGATTGATTGATTTCTAGTGTGCTATGCGTTGCGTGATTGTCCAACGCTTATTGGACTTTTGATCATGATAATCATCTTCCGCTTCAGCAGCGTCCTCGTGTTTTTCTCTGGCTCTCAGTATCCCTGGGGCATGTGCAACGATATCATCAAGGGCGTTTCGCAGGTCAGGCGACCCAGCCCAAGTCGTTCGTATCCTCGATTTTTGATGTTCGCGGCTGCAGTTTGCAATCATATAAACCGTCCATAGATGGAGTTGGTTTGCCGCAACAGCAATGCTGGAAGAGCTGAGCTTGATGGTTGGTCGATCTTTGAATGATGTTTCCCACGAGGCGCCTTGGTAACGGAGGCTTAGGTAGGTTGTATTGCATGCTTTCTGCTCTCTTTTTCGGGCATCCCTTTTGATGGTGCTGGTGACGCGGCCGCGAATACGCACACGAGGATCCGGGATGACGGAGATGGGGGCAGTGGGCTGGATTTGAGAGCGTAATATGTTTCCTCTTGGCAATGATGCGAGCTTGGTGTTTGTTGTTGGCTATAGCTGCGATTCGATCGAAACACAACGACAGCGACTCGACTTCATTGCCCTGTGTCCCGGAAATGATCCCAGATTGGGTTTGCTGGCGTTTTATACTAGACGACCTACAATGTTGAGGCTTTCTCTGAAGGTCTGGAGTTGGGCTCCGGGTTGGCCTCGAATTTATGGGGAGAGACGCGGCAGATGGGCTTGGAAAGGTGTAAAAATTGCAGAGTCACATGTTTCTTAGTCTTGCTAGAGACGGCAATCTTAGAGATCTTCTCTGCTGTTAAAACGCTGGTCCGGGATAAAACCCTCTTTGTGAGATCATAATTGCGCCGGTGCCGCTACTACTGGGTTCGAATCCAGCCTCCACGGGCCCTGTTCATTTCACTAGCTGTCTAAGTAATTCACCTCGAAGACATGCCCAAAATTGACGAACGGCGAGAAGACAATGTGAACGGGGACGACGTGAGTCTCATGATTATGTGACGATCACGAGGGAGACAGAAATCTTCCATCTTCAGAGGGAAGGAAGATACCCAAACATGGGGTCATTTGGGAGCATGTTTACATCCAATGAGTTGCTGAGTATTCTCACAGAGGGGGGGCCTACTTAAACATCCTGCGTGGCTGTTTAGAAGGCATGCTCTTCCGGCTCTCGACACCTCCTTAGGTGACTCGGAAAGACGATCTAGACTTCCGATGGCTTCAAGAATGGTGCGTCGATAGTATAAAGGGTAATGCTCAGGGCCGTTGGAATAGGTATCAAATTTCGTTTGCAGCCAATGAGCAAGGCCGAACCCGAGGGCTTATGCATCTTATGGTGTTGTCCTAATCTTCATGCTTTGCGGGAAGTCTTGGCTGGATATTTCAACAATCTCCTGTCCAGTTTCTACGTCTTCTACTCTATCTCTTGGGTTGTTCATTTGCGCATAAACTCCAGACTTTGAAGGGGAGAGATCTGACGAGCCCGTGAGAGATATGACGAGCCCGTGAGAGAGCCTTTGCGAAATTTGAGTGACGACACATCTTCCTGCAGAATTATGAGACCGCGACTCCCAACAACGATTAAAGAAAGGCACCAAATGTGCGGATCACTTCTTTCTGAGGTTGAACACTTTGTAAACAGCGGCCTGGGATACCTTGCATGTCCCTACCGAGAGCTCACCACCGACTCAGTTGATATCGCAACGAGTAACGCCGCGTTATCGATGAAGACCTGAAACCCTGAATAGGAGCTGACTTGAGATGTAAAACTTATACGGGATTCAGAAGCCTGAATAAGATGGTTTCCTGATGCTTGCTCCTTTTTCTGCTTTAGGATATCTACCATATCTTTGTTGAGAATGAATGCAGAGAAGATTAACAGACTTGAACTAATCTACCTACCCACTACAAGATATGCGAATCCTAATACAAGCTGGACGACAGTGGCAAGGCGTACAAGCAATTGATAACATAGACGCTTACGCTGTCACGTCACTGCGGGCGGCCATTTGGAAGGTCAAAAAGATTCCCAATCATTTGTAAATGTAGAGAAGCGAATGCACACCGAAAATTCCTGTTGAAAAGATTCCGCTGCTGGAAACGATGTCGGACTTTATAAACGACTGAAAGACACCTGTATAGGTATCATGCCACCCTTCAGCAGGACCGCCTCACTGAAAAATGCCCGAATCTCAGGACTGAACGTTGCAATTAACGGGCTTCGATCCTCAGCATCTCCCACGTCACTGCTATCATTTCCAGGCGAACCCTGGTCTCACCTTTTCCCATCGTGCCAAGTTGACTTCTGATAGGGGATATAAGTTAGCAAGACAGGAAAAGTTCTGATACACGAAGAATCTTCTTAGAAGCAGGGAACGAGAACTGCTTTGCGTTGAACGCAAAGCTACACGAGCATGTCCCAAAGATCCGCCAACACTTGAATGACCAGAAATACGCGAATTGAAGTGTTGACCATGCCTCCCCGTAGTCTTCAGGGCGTCTTCGTCACTCAAAAGTGGCGGATTTGGCTGAATGCGCCGAGGAAGATGCGTCTCAGGGTCTTTCCATGTGACAGTTTAAGAGGAGTAATCTTGACGTCTCGTTAGACATCCCAAGCCCCCTTTTTCACGAAGTGGAAAGGTAGCAGCACCTATGTCAATTGGTGTTGTCTTTTGGGTCAGTGTGAGAGGAAACTCCGACTAGTGTTTATCTTCTTATACTTTCCACCGCTTCTGAGAATATCTTTCTCAGCCCGGGTAGCTGCTTGATTGTAGCTTCGTTAGAGATTAGCTTTTCAAATAAAGACACAAATCGTCTTGTATTTTCACACGATAAGACTGGGTGCTATATTTCAGTGTCAGGGGGATTCTGAGTGAGTATTACTCGTCTATTTGCCACGTATCTCAGGCTTCCTTACACCCACAGCTTTATTGCTCGCCAAGTAATGTTCGAGTCTCTAGTTTATCAGAGGGAGATACTCGGCAACCAATAGGACCCAAATATTGGTGAAATGCAGCCTTCATCCGCAGTGGCCTGGAGCTGCGATGAGATGAATCCTGTGGTCAGAAGTGGTCAGAAATCATACTCCTGTGTTGCTGTTTCCAGTTTTATCCCCGTTTCCTTCCACAATCGGCTTTCCAGGTCTAAGGTTCCGATATGGCCCTTCCCCGACCAGTTTTATATTGTAGTCAGTCCTTCCGGCAGGAAGACCCCTTCCCACCACCCGTAATAGCTCCTCCCCCCAGGTAACCTTCTTAAGGCCGTTACCTTCCCCAAGTTCCCAACAATTCAGCTCGAGCGGGTGAAGCACCCGTCTCACCCAATGGCCGCATGGTCTAGCTGGTCGGCATTCCGGTGCTCGCCGCGGGGCGCTCAGTTCGAATTTAGAAGTCTGGAACCCCATTCTGTGGTCGAAAGCCCTAAGGGAACTGAGGAAATTCTTTTTGCTTGAAGCAAGAAGTACTCCTTTGTTTGATGACCTCTGAATCGTCTGAATGCGCGAAGAAGGTGACTCTCGGGCAAGCCACCAGGAGCAACGAACGGCTTTGGTCATGGACTTAAAGGCAGCGGCAGTCGACATATGAGTTGACTCCATCCTGTTGTATTGTTCGTTTCCGTCGCCATTTGCCTTGATAATAGTCATCAACGAGTCTGCCATGCCACCTTGGCCCTTCCCGGCCAAGTCTCATGCCACAGTTAGGCCATCCAGCAGGAAGTGGCCTTCATACCTTCCCGTCCAACTACCAGCCCCTTGCTGCCACCAGCCCCCTCGTCCCCTTCAAATAGCCTGTTTAACGCCGTTACCTTACCAAAACTTCCAACTATTCATCCAGCCAAAGTACATATGGTCTGGATGATCAGCGCGAATCCCCCGAAGTGGGGGACGGTGCTTCGCCGCAAGGCGCTCATTTCTAACTTGGACTCGTCAGTAGCTGAAAACCCCAAATATGGGTTGAGGACCTCCTTTTTGCTATGCGAGTACCATTTACTGGCTGTTTTTGCTGCCAATACGACTTCGTAGTCGTTGCGGTCGTGGCCGCGGGCGCGGTAGGCACGGCACTCAGGGGGCGCAGTTCGGCTGCTCCCCGGAGGCAAAGACTCATTGCATCGAGCCTGGTCATAATTGCTACTGCCCTGTATGGCGGCATGTATCTGAGTTAGTTTTCTGACCAGCTTTCAAGATTGAATCTGGGAAAAGGGCTTGGTGTGGTCTGACGATCACTGGAAACATCAGATCAGTGAGCGGAGCTGCGACCAAAATGGGCCTGGTCCATCTCGAGTCCGTCGGGCGAGTCGAACTTGGGACCTCCTTTTTTGCGTTTTTTTAATTTTTCAACCAATCGATCATCTTCAGATTCTCCTCGGCGAAAGGTTGGCTTATGGCACAGCTCGGAGGGGGTGGGGGGGGNGGGGGGGGGATAGCGGAGGCTTGCTCGTGATGGAGCGTCAGGCCAGCATCGTCCCCTTGATAATCTATTCCCTTGAGGATGGGGACGAGGGAAAGCATCTAAATTGTGGATGGACAGCCTGACGACAGTCGTCTCGACCTGGACGCACACAACACGGCGTCTGGGCATTAAGTATACAGACGTGTGACTCGAGATGCCGTTTCTTTTTCTTTTT